AGATATAACAGAGATCCTGCACATTCACTGTGTGAGAGGGGCCCCGAAAACCCTTCTGTGTCCCACTGCACAATATTAGAGGTGTAAAGTATGTAACGTAAGGCAGCACATGAACCTCCAAACCAACACGATCCTGCACCCTCTCCCTGCTCCACCAAGTCATCACATGTTTGTCTCCACGTTAGGACACGTGTTGGAGCACATTTCTACAACAACAGTATTTGAAACAAAGCTACACACACACTCACAGTTTGAGGCCTGACAGACTGTGCGATGCTTGACATCATCATCTTTGTCCAGCACTGAAACTGCAACAAATCAAAAACAAGGTTGAGCTACAGGCCTGACATGGTTTCCTTCCCCTCCGTGTCTGCGTCGGCTGCTGTGTTCTCTCTCATTTCATGCCATGTTCTGACTGGCTGGCCTGTAGATGTGGACACAGCAGCAGTTGCACTGAGGAATCTGACCCTAAGCTTTGACACAGGCTGTCTTTGGTCTCCGAAGCTCTAAATCAGTGTCACAGTACAGTCGAGGATGCAATGGGCCTTAATGCAACAGCGTACATGTTTCTTTCTGATGTTTTTTAGTTGAAATATGCTCCAAAATATTTATGGATGTGGAGAGGTGCTATCAGAGGCTTTAGTGCCAACTCACTAGTCCAGTTGTAACACACATCTGAACACCATCAGTAATACAAAAGCCACTCACTCTCTCTCTTAAGCTGCAAAATAAATTCATTAAAATCCCGTTCTCCATTCATTTAACAGAAATGTGTTATGGTTTTCTGACATTTTATGACTTAAACAATTAATCAAAGAATAAAAAAATGCATCTGATAGATTCATCAGCGATGAAAACAGCCTTTAGCTGCAGTCCTACATGTACGTAGCACATAAAGAATATTCCACAGCATTTCAATGGACCGGTTTGCTTTTCTTCTTTTCAGTTTTGCTCAGTATAAATGCTAAAAAGACACTCTTCATTCGACACACAACCAAGTATAATTTACTGAAATTCTTTTTCTTTCCATTCACTGCCGAGGTGCTAATTGGAGCTGGTGACAAGTTATTTTACTCAACAGCAGAAAACACGAGTGCTTTGGGAAAAAACAGCAAGCAGGTGTAAAAAGTGCTGACTGGTGTGTGGCATGCGGCACTGACACAGTCTTCGCACTGCTCACACACAACCAGAACAGTCTTCACATTCAGCCCAGAGAAAGCAGCATTCTCCTAAATCGACATCCAACTGTGGAGTGAAACACTGGGAATAATTAGATTCTAGTTGGGCGGACACACGGTGCTTCTCAAACCCAGATGGTGGCCGAGCACAGAGCATCCGTCTCCTGTGGCCGAGGCTCTGCGCAGGACAATGTAGGCAACTTCAGTCTAGTGCAAATATTTCCCTCCAGAGGAAGGAGGTGAAATTTTAACTTGCATCTTGGAGCAGCTTCATGTCTGGATCCATCTGCTGTAAATTCATCTATTTGCATCCACTACCTTGCACGGCTGTGCTACAGTGAAACACCCCCTCCATCCTCCATCCTCCCCCAAGCTCTCGATGCAACTCAGCGGTGAAAACTTGATACCTGCTGCTATCACAGCCACGAGGGTCCCTCCTGGCCAAGGAGACGAGACCTTGTGTCTCTTCTTTTCAGCACACACTCATCTTTAGTTTCACTGCCAAGAAAAATACAACCTACACCTCAGCCTGCAACAGAGCTGGAATGAACAGGAATTATTTGCTGGTTCTTGTCCTCAGAGAAATTGCTGCAGGCTGGATGCATGCATGCTTACTCAGTCAACCCCATCCAAAAAGAGTACGGTTAGTGGGTCATCTCAACAATGCTCTGAACAGTTCGACTGTTATTGCAGAAAAAAAAAGCCACTATAGGCCCGGAGCAGGACCAACAATTGGCTTGTTATATCAGCAAATTCAGTATCTGCACAGCTGAAAATGCAGCCTCCATTTGCATGATAAACGGGACATTTGTGCAGGAGCGCGAAGGTTGGCTGAGCCTGCAGGGGCACACGGGCTGCCGGGGCTGCTGTCCCGCTGCCGCCGGCTGGCCTGGCGCACAATGGTGAGGACAAGAAGAGTCTGAGCCACACAGGCAGCGCTCGAGAAGACATACAAGCCTAACATTCATCTGTGCCAAATAGAAGGAAAGCAGCAGAAGGATGAAGAGACTTCGCTCGGACTGGCATGGTTTTAGAAAACACAAGGACATGGTGCTTATTTTAGCTTTGCTGATTTGTACTCATTTCCTTCGGTAGTAATAAGTTACACAGTCTCTCTGTGTTGCACAATCTGTGCAGGCCTGCATGTAACAGTCAGTGCTGGGAGACAAACCTCTGGTACCAGCACCTGGTATCACTGTTGGTCTCAAATGTCCAGTCAAACTAACCTAGTTAACTTGTTCTTTAACTGGAGGGTGTTGAACATGTGAGACACTGTCTTCTTCTGTTAAAGCAAAACAAAACAAAATGCAGCCACAGAAATTCTTAGATGTTGTATCCTTCATTAACTGATTTTTGTCACTGTGGGTAGTGAAATAGGCTGTGAACACATTCCCATGTTATCACCTTATAAAGATGAAACGCTAACGTTTTAGCAAACAGTTGTCTATTTACACATCGAGCAGACACAGAGCCACGTCTCAGCCCACCTGCTGAATGTGGAAACAATATTTACTCTCCTTTTAGCTCCGTTTCTGTCTCCACCAGCAACGCAGAGAAAGTATCTGGCTATTGGTGTGTTTAGCTGTTAAATGCTCCACTATGTTCATCAGCTAGTCGTTAACTTTGTAATAGTTGAACTCACAGAGCATAGGGAGCGTTGACAAAAAGCAGCCTGAGCATCCTCTCCCCTCAAGTCGATGAACAAATCAAAGCATCAGGTGGTGACAGTGACAGTGTTTAAAAAAAAAAAAAAAAGGAAGCTTGGCTAATCTGGCTGCTACTGTGTCACTCACATGAGACAGCAGAGGAACAGACAATCCACAAAGCAAGCTCAGTTATAGTTTAGGATTAAGCTGCATGGCTTTTGAATTAATTCATCTGAATGGAACAGAGACAACTGTAGAAAACGCTGTTGTTTTAGCTTCACAGATTTGTCTGCATTTCCTCCTACACTGAGGAGATATACTGACCTTTTAGGTTGTAAAACTGTGTGCGGCTGCAACTAATTATTCATTTCAAAATAAATTAATCAGCAGATTACTTTTTGATTAATAATTTAGTCACAAAACTGTGAAAGATGCAGTCGCTATTTCACACAAGATCATCAAATACCTTGTTACAGTTCACAATGAAAAGGTGCTATTCCTCATTTAGAAGCAGGAAAACAACATAGTTTTTCACATTTTTACCTGATAAACCTAAACGATTCTTGGATGTTTAGATGTTTCAGGTGACTGTCGATACGTTTTCTGTTAATCAACTTATCAGTTGCAGGGCTGTAACTAATGATTATTCATTATCGATCAATTTTCTTGATTGATTCTAGAAAACTGTGAAAATTGTCTGTCATGCTTTCCTGAAGCAAAATTGCCTGTTTTGTTCAAATAAAAGTACAAAATACAGAGAATTTACAATTGCTGGAACTAAGGGCTGTTAAACAGTTATCATACGGTGCCTCTTGTTTTTCTGTCGACTCATTATTTGCTTCAGCACTGCTAAGGATTGATGCTTTCACAAGGCTTCGGCAGAGCCGTTTGTTTGACCTAAAAGTAATCGCAAGCTTTTCTTTCAGCACCATTTTATTCTCACTTGTTATACGTGAACATTCAAGACTTGATGAAATGAGTATTCAAGCAATCAACTATTGGTTTCAGAGCTCCAGAGCTGCTGTTGTCTGCACCAAATCCATCAATGAGTGACAACAGGAACCTACTTCTCTCTCAGGAAAGTCCCAGAGCGACTCATTAATCTACAAACAAAAATGTCTGTGCGTTATTCATCACAAGATGAACTGGCTGCAACAAGACAGTTCCTCTGTGTAGGTGGGTGGACAGTTGACTGTACCAGATCTACACCGTGAGGCTCTGACCATCAGGGGCTCTCTCTCCTACCTGTTCACATCCTGTACAGCCTCTGAGTGTGTGTGTGCATGTGTATGCGTTCTCCATGTTGTGCAATGAACCCGCTTCACTTTGGACTTCTTGGAAAACAGGCTGAGGGGAGGAAAATGCCTGAGCCACTTTCAGTGCAGCTTCTTCCCCCTGCCAGTTGGACTCACTGATGACCTGAGCGAGCTCCTGGGCTGCAGGAGCGTTACTCCACAGCTCCTGTTGTCACTGCACTGTGATTAAGTTAGGGTCAAAGTGTGACACACCCGCTTTCCTATGCGTGCTGAGGATAATCACAGCACACAGAGCCAGGGGTCTGACACAACCAGTTGCTTGGACAGAAGCAGCAGCTTTGCTTGGAGACGTGTATTTTAATTGCCTAAAGAAGCCCCTGCTCCTGAACGCACCACCACCTTAAAGCGCACAACAGATTCTATTATTAGATTTTCATTTTCTGTTCCATAAGCAGAAACAAATCTGCAGCCACTAAACACTCAAACTTGACCAGGGACAGCTGCAGATTGTCACGTCACGTTGCTCTCCTGCACCAAACCAAGCATATTTGTAGCAGTGCGCGCGAGGTGGCTTTCATTATTTACCTTGAGCAATGTGCATGTGCCATGCATCAACTCGAGCAGAGTTTATTATAGAGTTGCAGTGTCCTTTTCTATCTCGTGACTATTAAAGGCGCCCTGTGCCCAACATCCCTGCCTGTGCGCAGCTAATAACGTCAATATGAGTGAGTACACAGAGCATCGTCTTACCAGGAACTGTGCAAAGGGGAAGATCTTAAACAGGAAATGCAACTGACCCTCCTAAAGCATCTAACTTTAAAATGCACCGGCCCAGCTGGACCTGCAGCGGTGCATGTTGCAAACCGTGCAGCAGTGGTTGCATATCGGTAGTTTTGCACAGACGGGTTTCATATTCTTACCTCCCTTTGGCTGAGACATTTCCCCTTTGCTTTGATGAGGGGGAGGGGAAGCACAAAAGACTTTGCCTTCTTTCTCACTCCCTCCCTCCATCGCCCTCGCGCTGGAGCTTCAGCGGCTTGCTTTGCAACAAAGATGCAGAATACAAGCCTCGATCTTCATGCACTTGGAGCCTTTTTGCGTCCGACCCGCGCGTGTCCGTGCAAAGAACGATGTAACAAATGCACAGTCCCCACAGGCGTCGGGAAAAGGAGGTAATTTTGCAATTGCACTGCAAAGAAATCTCCGCAGCACTTACATGATGGGCCAAGGCTGGCAGCTGAAAGCTCCTAACTTGGATCAGTGTGTGCCCCTGCGAGAGAACGTTCTTCCTGCTTGGAGCGCAAAGGATTCTGGGATATGTAGTCGTGGCTGTGCTACAGAATTTAGCCTACCAGCAAAGTTACATTGGACTTCGATACAACTAGCTGCTGTATCTGTAAGGAGATGCAAAAGGTTGTACTGTTCAGCGGTGGAATCATTTACTCAACACTATACTCAAAGTATTTCCATTTAAACGTACTTAAAGGGAAATTATTGTACTTTTGACTGCACTACTGTTATTTGACAGCTCGAGTTACTTTGCAAATAGTTTTTAAAACATATGAGCAGTTTATAAAATATGTTGCATTATAGATTAAAATACTAAACAGCAGTGACAGAGGAATTCTCCACCTGCTGTACTTTAGTATAAGTAGTAATACCACCTTTTATTAGCACCCGTTACAAATAAAAGCCAAAAAACGTTAACTGAAGCATTTGTGCAATCTGTGTGAGCAAAATGTACTTAAATATCAGAGGTAAAAGTACTCACTATGCATCTGAATGGCCCCCATACAAATGATATTATGTATTCTATGGGAATATACTGGTGCATCAAGGTGGAGGACATTTTGTTTGGACATCTTTTAGTTCAAGACACCATCTAACATAATTACACTGTAGCTACATTGTTGTATTTTTTATTGTATTTTAGTTCAGTACAGTGTTATCACATATAAAGGATACTTGTGTATGCATTCCTGACAATGCTTAGTATATATTTGCTTGTGTTTGCATGGTGGTGCTGCTACTTTTAGTTCTTAGTCATCCTGTTTCTCCATGTTGTGATTTTACTGTTCTGTCTGCACTAAAACATTTGTTGCTAAAGGTTTTGTTGGATGTAATTTTTTCTTACTTTTCCATGAGTTGATGGTTCTAAGGATAAAGCGTGTCATGTGTACAGATGATAAACCTTCTAAGACAAACTACTAAGTAAAAGACCCATATACATAATATATAGCTAATTACTTTTACATCTGGGAGTAAAACCATGAGATCACTTGGGACAATTTTTAGTTCTGCTTTCAAACTGTAGTAAAAATGTTTATTATCAGGTAACACTGGTTAATGCAAAAGTTAATCTACTGACTGCAATCACAGTAATGAACTGACAGCAAGACATTCTGACATCTAGAGCAGTGGTAACGCCTATACGAGTGGTTTTCTAAAGTAAAAAGTGAAAATGTGCCTCCTGGAAAACCTGAAGTTCAAGAGGATGAACGTGTGGTGCCCAGTAGGCAAATTTTTAATGACTTGTAAATCATAAAGTGTGTGTGCATAAAGCTGATGGGGTGTAATACCTGAGGACACAGTGGAGCTCTGTGGCCTAGAGGAATAAAATACTCAGTGAGATACACAATGCTTATTAGGAGCACCTATTAATTGTTGGTCTCAAATACTTTTATGGGATTGTTAATTATGGAATAGCACCAGAGACATGTTTTACAATGATTTACAAAATACTCTCAGACTGGCATGAACCAAACTCTGGTGTGGCCTAATATGAAGCCAGTGATCCAAACATTACATATGAGGAGGCTGCAGATCCTTGTCCCTGTGATGTGATATGAGATGTGGCGTCAGAGGGTTGGACTGTGGGCAGTGAGGTAAGTTGGCTCAAGGATGGGACTGGAGGGTCAGTTCTTCGTGGTTATCAGGGTTTGGTAGAGCGGCTTCACCACAATATGGAGGAAGAGGGAGCTGTTGATGAGGTATTCAGACGTTCGGCAGTACAGGTCAGCCTCAGCCAAGAAGTCCCCATTTTCTTCAGTGCTTTGGTGGAAATTGTAGACGTGTTTCACCACCACCTTCCCCTGCTGCTGAGCCATCACAAGCACCGTCTTCTGGAAGCTCACCCCAGCAAAATCAGCACTGGAAGTGGCCGGTGTGATGATGATTCGAGGACGCCCGCCTTCCACTGGTGTCGGCTGCATAGCACCCATCTCCATGTACATGGACCTCATGCTGAGAGGTAACCAGCGAGGTGAGAACAAGGCGTTCCATGTCACCCACTTGCTGGCGTCGTGGCCACTGGGCCCCAGCTGGGTCTGGAAATTGGTGCTGCGGTCATCTTGCGTTGGGTTGCTGATGAGCCAGAGTGACCCCCACACAGGGGAGAGGTAGTTCCTGGGCATGAAGAGGCTGCAGTTCACATCAAAGTATTTGGCCATGTGCAGTGGTGGGGCTGAGTGAAATTGGTAGGACATATAGAGCAGGTCACGTACTGACTCTTGATAGCGAGCCAGCACTGCCGACTGGGTCTGCAGGCGGAAGAGATCTCGTGGAGGAATCATAGCATAGCGCACAGCCCTGAGAGCATTCTCTGCTGTCAAACTGTCCGGCTCATTCTGAATAATCCAGGCCTCCAGTGCTGCAAAGAGCTCCATCTCGCTCTGCAGGATGAGGTCTGAGCGCTGCAGCAGGGTCATGAGCAGCCGGCTGCTGATGGTCGCCCACTCTCTGCTCTGCAGCACTGATGACAGGTTCCAAGCCAGATACTGAAGGCAGCTGTCCCTCAGAGTCATGTCCCCCGCCTGCAGGGCGTACTCATACCAGCCTGCCACATGGCCCGAGGGGGAGTCCTGGGCCAGATTCTGGGTCATGTACTGGGTGATGTCCTGTTGGAGACCCAGAAGCTGGTACTTAGTGGCCAACTTGTGTAAAGGCGTGGCCTGGTCCAGACACAGAGAAATTTCTCCACAGTACAAATACCTGCACAAAGACAGGAAGTAGAGGTCGAATAGATTTGACACCCATGAGCATTTACAATAGCTGTTCAAATTAAGTATTTTAAAGCTGCAGTCATTTCTTTTTAGGAACTTTAGGGCAGAACTTAACAAGATGCCATGCACTGCCCTAGAATATGTTATTACATTATAAAGTTGTTGGATTAGTACTGATTTGTTTGTGTCCATGATGAATGTCAGTCCAATACTCATGATCCTTTTACATCTCATTTGGTGTCAACAGAGAAATATCTTGCTTTTACTTGCCAAGTGCTCAACTTTCTTCACCAGCTAGTCGCTAACTTTGTTCCGCTGTTTTGTTGTCTGGGCTAGGCAGGTAGTATACAGAGGGTTTGTTTAGAGCAATCACTTGGGATGTGTCTCATTGCTTCAGCGTTTTTTGGAAAAACCAAAAACAACAGCAATTACAGTGAACTTTTAAAACCAAATTTTGATGGATTCAATCCACTGAGCAACAAGTGCAAACAATCCAGTAACAGCAGAGCGGATGGTTTGCACTCTGGGCACAAGAAAAATGCAGCTTTCAGCGCCGGTGAACTGATTTCCATCAGGATTATTCATCAAACCAAACCCAGCTTTGTTCAGCTGGTCATTAGCTTTACATTAAATAATCACCAACTGCAACTAATACATGAATAAAGGGTTTCATGGTGGTGATTTCATGGCCATATTTATTAAAATGCAAGATATGTGTAAATTGAACACATCAAAGTGTGATTTGTTTTGTCAGCTGAAAAACGTCATCGTCATGGTATTTCATAGCAGATGCAAAATAAAAGTCAATATATTACTTACTAGGTCAACATCATTAGCATTTGGGATAAAATTAGATTTTGTTGTTGATTGCTGTCAAAGCAAAGGCTTTTCTGTCTTACGCTGCACCATATGAACTACTACTGAGCAACCCAGCAGTTCACTGATTGGTCCGTTTGTTTTATATTGTACTCATCAGTCACTGCTGATTGTTTGGCTCAGATGTAGGGCTGCACTGTAGGGTTCGTCCCTCTAGAGGGCGTGCTACCTCAATCAAACTGTCTGAAGCAGAGGGTTGATGCGACTCCTCAGGTGACATCTCTTTTGTGACCTGTTCTTTCTCGTCTCACCTGATGAATTTCTCAAACACGGCAGCACAGTCAGAACTCTCTTTCAGGACCAGCATGCTGCTGTTGAGGCTCAGCAGCATCTCCTCAAACACGGGGCTCTGCAGGGAGAGCACCAGAGAGTGAGCCTGGATCACCTTCACCTCGTCTGCATTGGGTGTCTCCACTCTCAGTGACACATCGCTGCCACTTCCCTGAACCAGCAGGGCCTCCAGACGTTGCACCAGGGCCAGAGTGTGGCTGATGGCGTACCCTCTGTTGCTACCTCCATCTTGGTCAACTTTCAATGCACGTAGTTTAAAAGAAAAGGGGGAAGAACAGATGGAGTTAGTAGATTGGAAATGAAGCAGATTCACATCTTTCAAACCTAAAATGCAGCTCAAAACGCTTTACAATAAAATGCACAGAATAAAACATTTAACCGCATTAATTAAAAAATATTAAACAGCAACAGCAAAATTTTAAAGTTGAGTTTCTTAGAAAATGTGCAGATGTTGCACGTGTGGGACAGTATCATGGAAATCCATGGCATTGATCAGTGTAGCTGCACTCTGTCTGGATAATGAGGGATTGTGGGTCATGTTTAATTACAGCTTTGTCTGAGCTGAGGGGGTTGTAAAACCCCTCTCCCCCTGCAGAGCACACTGTTGCTGTAACTGCTGGGACGTGAGCCCTGATTTGACCAAAGTGTAGTTCCTCTTTCTGGTTCCTGGTAAGGTTTGGCACTTCCTTTCCCCTGATAAAAACGGGAACACAATATGAAATTCCGACATTCTCGGTTCAGTGAGTCCACGCGTCACCAGTTTATTAGCCACATCTACAAGCTTTTTTCTGTAAACTAATGCACTGATGACTGAGTGTATAGTTCGTATGATCAGTCAGAGAGGGTGGAGAAAGGTTTTCATCAAGGTGGAGAGCATAAAAAAAATATCTGAGGACTGGTTCAGCCAAATTATGAATTTGAAAGGAGTAAAGCTCTTACTGACATCTTGTGGTTTCAACAGGGGAAAAAGCCTGAGACTTTGGAAATAAAGTTTATAAATTTTGAAGAAAAAAAAGTGGTTGTAATAATACTGGGGAAAGGTTGTTGCATTTCAACATCTGATTACTCCACAGTAAACAGCAGAGATCTGTCAGCTTTTACAAGTCTGAGGAACATGAAAACCTCAAGTCTTGTTTTTAACCTGAAGTTATTGGCTTCTCCAATCAGGAATGACCTCGCCAGGCCTCATTAACCTTTATATCTTAATGCAACAATAACACAGACCCTGATGCCACATTAGAAATGAATTGCACGTTTGAACAAAAATGCTTTGCTAGGTGACATAATGGGCATTAATAAGTAAAAGTTTTTCAAAGTAGTTTGTGTAATTTTGGGTGAACCAGCCCTTAAATACACAGCTAAAGAAAACAAAGTAACGTGCGTTTCCATGAAGAGAAATCCATTGATAATCACTATTATTAGTTTAGGAGCCACACCAAACACGCGTTTACAGTTTCCCCTCTGGTATAGGCACATTGAATCATCACAAGAGGCTTAACGTCTACAATTCATCCATTGTGGCATTAAACAGAAACTCACCTGCAGCAGCAGCCCCCAGCTGGAGGCAGAGAGCCACTAGCCTCCCAACATGGATCCAAACCATTTGCTTCACCATCTTGTATTCCTTTGTCTGTCTCTGTCTGTCCAGCTGTGGAGGACGAAGGGGTCTGGGCCTGAATGTGGGACAGGGGTTCTCCTCGTCACATCCAGCCCACCACACACACACAGAACTTTGTTGATTGATGGGTGGAAACAGACCTGGGTTGTTTCCATGACTACCACTTTGATTCCAATTTCCTATCCTCGGGTATCGGCGCCTGCTGTATGATATTGATTTGGTGAGGAGGCCACAGGGACGCTCACACAGCTGAGGACTGGGAGTTTTATTTGGACCCTCTCAGCTGTTAAAAACGAGATGCCTGCCATGCCCGAGGTTTAACAGTGAACTGCCAGCATTAAGTATTTAGACAGCTGTTACAGACTCCACACACGTGTCAGTGTGTTCACCCAATTCAGCATGCGCATAACATGGAAACACAAGCCATCTGTTCACAGCCTCAGGCTACAGCACACCTCAACAGTGGGGAGCAAACTGCACAATCAATATTACTGTTTTGATGATAACTTATAATCCTGACCATTTTTTTTAAATCTGTGTAAATACAAACCAAAATGTAAGCTCTATTCAAGAGCACACATCAGGTTGAAGTCTCGGCGCTGGTTATGTTTCCGATCTGTGTCGTGTCGACCCCGGCTTGAGTGCACAGATCACGTGTCAGCTGATAATTACCCCACAGGCGGTTCTTTTGTCCTAGTCTGACTAGAAAGGAGTCCTATGTGTTTGGATGACAGCCAGCAGGTCAGTCTGTCATACAGTGGCCTTCAATGTGCACACGCCAAATGTCCACATTCATCTTTGGCACTTTCTAGGCAGTAAGAGCTGTTCTGTAGATGAGTGTTTCTGGACTGAACTTCTAAACTTCCCTTCACTCTTTCACCTTTAGTGATATGTAGTCATGCATTTCTGCATCCACAACAAACCAGAGGCAGGAAGTAACAAAGTACAAATACTTCAGCACTGCAGATTTTTTTAGGTAGGGCTGAACGACTTGTGATTGCGATTTAATGTCTCGCTTTTGTATTATTCAGTGAAAACAAGCTTTACAGTAAATGACAGCAGAAAGCTGAACCCAACACCCTCATGTGCACCATTGGTGCTGACTGTTACTGCTGTTAAATCTACTATCATCAGATCTGGATGAAACTTGGTCCGGTGATCGACATCACAACCTTATGTGTCACACGTCAAATGATTTTTATAACTTGAACTGGAAATATGAATTTTTTACACTTTGCCCCATGTTAATGATGGGGTTGTTTTTAATGATGTTTTTACATTTATTTTTGTGACCTTGACCTTTGACCTTTGATTTTCAGTCAAAATCTAAACACATCTAGAGTTGGTTCCCATTAAGGGTTTGTCGGCAATGCTACTTACCCACACACACACACACACACACACACACACACACACACACACACAGACAGACAGACAGACAGACAGACAGAGAACCAAAAACAACCTCCTTGGCAGAGGCAGCAATCATCAGCAGTAGGCGACAAGGAAACGACAGCTAACAAAAACCTGGGGTACAGTCTCTTATAACCACTGTTTCCCTCACATGCATCATTTCCTTGTGCCTTAGTAACGCCAACGTGAGATGTGAGGAAATGATGAGAGGGGAATGTTATTAATGAGATGTTCTTTCCTTCCGTCCTTCATATGAAGCGTCCAGTCACCAACTGATTTGCAATAAAGCGGCATGTTGATTCAAAAAAGACGAATATGGCTTCTCCAGAAGCTTCCTCGCTCCTCACAGCGGGGACAGGAGCCCTGGTACATCCAGGACCCTTGCTGGACTGATCGAGGACCCATCCTTTAAGAGACTTGGGAAGTACCTCAGGAGTACCAGCTGGTTGCTCACGTGCATCAGTTAGGTTGATGGTGTCACAGGTCTTCACAGCATGTAAGATTCAACAGCTGCACACATTCACAAACAACACTCACATTGTCACACAGCTTTAGTTCTTTCTTTTAAACCCCTGTTCATGTCGTTTTTAGTTTAGTTTTAGGGTCTGTCTTTAATCTTCTCATGTTACAGCTTATTTCACAATATTTCATTTGTACAGTACCAGTTAAGTCTGGACAAACCTGTTCATTCACAGTTTTTCCACTGTCAGAAACTGGCTTCCTGTGCCTTTGACTGGTTTCTCCACTGCACCTTCGTTTCCTGTGCTGCATTCAGAGCAACATACAGCTCATTACTGCACTGTACTGCTCTCTCATCTTTAGTTAGTTCAGATTTCTCAACATAGCCACTGTTTGTCTTGGTGACAGATTTGCACACTATTTGTAATATTTTATCCATCTTACGAGGTGGTCGCCTGGACATGATTCTCCAACCCTAACATGAACATGTCTGAGTTATGAACACCCATGAATCCTACCCTCACCCAAGCAAAGAAGATATCTGGTGACTTGATGCATATATTCTGCATCGTAGTAGCTCAGGTTATATAGTAGCTGGCCCAACTGGCTTGATAAGCCGTCACATCTGGCAGCCAGGCTCGCGCAATTGTCCAACCACCATCACAGTTTTACCATGATTGTCAATCAGAAGAAAATTACTCCAGTAACGACCCCTCTGAATGAAGAACTCAATCAAGAACCTGCATGGACGCTCATGTGAGCGTTCAGATCTCGCTGTTCTCCAAACCTTTTACCACAAACATCACAACCAAATGGTTTCTCTCCTGTGTGGACTCCCATGTGTTTCTTCAGATTATACTGTTTGGTAAATCGCTGACCACAGCTATCACAACCAAAGGGTCTCTCTCCGGTGTGGACTCTCATGTGTACCTTCAAATTTCTCTGTTCAGCAAATTGTTTACCACAAACATTGCAACCAAATGGTCTCTCTCCAGTGTGGCTTCTCATGTGGTTTTTCAGATTATGCTGGCTGGTAAATCTCTGACCACAACTATCACAGGCAAACGGTTTCTCTCCTGTGTGGACACTCATGTTTAACTTCAGCCCTGACCTTCGTGGAAACCCTTTACCACAAACATCACAACCAAATGGCCTGTCTTCCGTGTGGAGACTCGCGTGTATCTTCAGAGTTATCTTTTGTTGAAATCTTTTACCACAAACATCACAACGAAATGGGCTTTCTCCTGTATGGATTACCATGTGCGCCATCAGGTTTTCCTGTTTAGTAAATCGTCTACCACAGTCATCACAACCAAATGATTCCTCTCCCATGTGGACAACCATGTGTGCCTTCAAATAGCCTTGTTTAGTAAATCGTCTACTGCAAACATCACAACCAAATGGTTTCTCTCCTGATTGGATAGAAACTTTGTCAGATTCTTTCCAATCAGGATCTTCTTCTTCTTCTTCTTCTTCTTCTTCTTCTTCACTGTCTTCAGTCTCAAAAGAATCTGAAGTCTTTTCATCAGTGTCTGGTTGTAAATGACTGTCCAGATCCAGGTCTCCTGCTGGTTCTGATTCTCCGCAGTCCTCTCCACCGCTTTCTGTTTTCACCTGCTTAGCTGAGCTGCTGGTCGGAGGCTCTGCCTCTCTGTTGTCTTCAGCTGGGCTTTGATGAAGCTGTGAGGACCGAGGCTCCTCTTCATCACCTTCACTCTTCACAGGAACACCAGTGAATGTGAAGCTGGTGATATCAGTCTCCTCCAGCCCATTCAGCTGCTCTCCCTCCTGTCTGATCCAGACTTCCTCCTCTTCCCGTTTTACCTGTAGGGGCTCTGGGTCCTCCTTGACCACACTGGGGCTCCACTCAGAGGGATCTTCTTCTTTCACAACCAGCACCTGCTGGATATCTGCAGGGAGCACTGAAACACACACATACATTATGGACAACTGTGACTTTATTTTTATTTTAATTAATATTATCATAGTGACAATAGGCCTCAACTACACTACAGGAAATTAATATATTATTTTATATCTTGGCTTTGTGGACAACATACCAACACATACTGCATTATAACATTTACCTTTAATTAAGGATGTCAGAAAAAAAGTTATTACAGACTTAATAACAACAGACCAGCTACTTCTAGTTTTGTTGCACACCCTTCTTAGTCAGAATTATATCTTAATCTTTAACCTACGAGTGTCAGTCCTAAGACAGAGCAGTTAAACGGTTACATTGTGCTTTTCCTCTCTGAAGAGAAATATCACAACCTACTCTAACCTGTTTCTGTACCCATGTTCAAAGTCAGAGTGTTAGCTACACTACATAAGTGCATAACAATAACTTTAATGGTTGAAGGCTACTATCTAGAACTCGATGCTAGGAATGGTTAAACAGCCAGCCAGCGATGGCATGATACTGGTGTTTCTATTATTTTGGCCACCCCACCGAGTGTGTCAGTGAGGGTGACTTATAAAAACTCATCAGTATAAGGCAACACAAACCACAGACAGTTGAATCAGCACTCTCCTTACTACAGGACTGCAGCTCAGACTTAGTTATAGAGTTCCTAATAAACCGATACTGAACGCTAATTCATGCATTCACCTACAACAGCAAGTCACAACACGGACTCAGTAATAATTATAACTGTAAAATTTAAAATATATACACAGCCTTCTGACATTAATCACTGGGTAAAGTTTAAAAAAATTATAACACTGAACCCGGTCGCTCTCTCTCATTCAGCCTCGTTCTGACGTCGACTCGCACCTAGCACCCGCTTTCCTTCCGATGGGAAGGAGAAACAGAAGTGGCTACAGTTGATTTGATAACCTTACCGACCTGTTTCTTTTCTCTCATTCTTGCCATTTGACGGTATTTTTACCAGCTGTGTGGTCCATAACAGTATCCCGCGTAATCTCCGGTTTTTCTTCATCTTCGCCTTTGAAATTCTGAAGATAATCCATTTCCCTCCCGTCCCTAAAGTTGTCCTTCTCTCGCAAAGAAATCACTGCCTCTTGAAAATAAGACACACTGAGAAATCCCCGGAAGTCCTTCTTCTTCTCTAAGAGAAATGGGGACTGGCATAACAACCTATTTAAAAGGTTACCGCCACCTACTGTAGCGGGGTGGGTAACTTGAGCGGTTTGTGTGGTTTAGGTCAGTGGTTCCCAAAGTGGGGGTCGGGACCCCCCGGGGGGTCGCGGGATGATTCCCAATCATAATGTAAACTAGACTGCATTTCCACTGAGAAACTGCAAATTTGCGTTCATATATTTTGGTAATATCTTTTTCATAATAAACTGCATAATGTGGACATAAACATGTTTATTTAAAATAACAAAAAACAGTAGAAATATTAGGCCTAAATGCTATGTCTCTAACGGGAGGTGATTACACAGATGAACGACACCATCGATCACACATCTATTTACAGCACCACAGTGACAAGCGACCATGACAGCTACGTTTTTTACATCTAGCTTACAACTGTTTCTAATGTAGTTGGTGTTAGTTTTTTCACTAGAATGAAACTGTGGTTGTTATCAACAAAAGACAACAGAGAGAGACCAGCGGAGGAGCGGGCGGGGAAACTGGGAGATAACCCGGCGGCGAAGCCGATGGAGAAGGCAACAG